GCACCAGGGGATCGGATTCTTGAGCGATCCACGACGACTCAACGTGGCGCTGACGAGGGCGCGGTTCGGACTGGTGATCCTGGGCAATCCCAAGGTGCTCAACAAGCATCCGCTGTGGCACTATCTGCTGGTGCACTACAAGGAGAAGGGATGCCTGGTCGAGGGGGTGCTGTCGAACCTGCAGCCGAGCATGATGCAGTTCCCCAAACCGCGTCGACCGCTGCAGAAGCCGGGAGACTTGATGGCGCGGCATCGGCACGACCTGGGTGGAGGTGATGGCTACGGATCTCACGGCGGTCGCGAGGTGGGAAGGGGTGGGGAGGTTGGGTTCTTCCGGACGCACGATCCGATGTCGTTCATCCCGAGCGATGCGCAGAGCGTGACGAGTCTGGGGACGCAGGCGACGTATCCGTCTGCGCATCTGGGTGGCCTGCACGGTGCGTATGCCAGCAGCATCGTCAGCCAGGACGTCGACGAGGAGAGCGTGGCGGGCGGCGCGGCGTCGGCGAGCATCACGTACAGCCAGAGCGACCGCCTGCAGCGCCGGCTGAGCCTCGGCAGCATCGGTGCCGGTTCGGACGCCACCAGCCTGGACAACTACAAGGGCGACGCAGACTACTATGGCGCTGGCGACGACGATGGCGCCTCGACGTTTTCGGCGGCCATCTCGCAGTCGTCGTTCACCACGTTCTGAGGCGCGAGTCAAGGCAGGTATGGAAAATCCTATTTGGATCCGACGATAGGGTGTCGGCATGGCGATGCGGTCGGAATCAATCGGGCCCTTGGGCGATGCGATTCATGGCGTCCGAGCGGTTGCATGCACTGCCGCTACTCGGCTAGCTGATGCAGGGGCACCACGCGTGTGCCTCGTTGCCACACTCGCACTCCCACTCGCACTCGCGCTCAGGCTACTTTTGAGCTTGCTTGTGTTTTTTGTATGTTGAGGACGTTCAGCCGTTGACACCATGTGCATGGAGAGTCGGAAATACAGTGGCACATCTCCACACACGAGCACTGAGGTGGCAGCGGCGCCCTTGACCTGTGCGTGTCTCGCCTGAGCTGCAGGGAGGGGGGAAGAGGTGGGAAGGAAAAAAGGGCGAGTGTGGGCGATGGATTTTTCGGTTGGATGCTAAGCGAAGTTGCAAGTCGATAGCCGAAGAGGTGGGCCCAGAGGCTGCGGATCATGCATGGAAAGCGGAGGGCGCTTTTCAAGCCCAGCTGCGGCGAACCAAAGGAAAAGGCGCCGGGTCAGAGTGCGCGTTGCAGTGTGAGGCGGCAGATGCACGCCCGCTGTCGTCCAAGGGCTACGACTTGCATTGGCCGTGCAGCGCCGTGCAGCTCCTGCCTTCGCTTCGCAGCAGCGCCGTTGCGGTGGCCAGGCCCAAGAAATTCCCACCACCGCACCGCACCGCA